CTCTCTCTCTCTCTCTCCGTCTGTCTGTCTGTCTCACGCGCGCGCATGCCCTTGCTCGCTCACCCACCGCACGTGCTGTTTTTTTATTTTCTAAAATAAAAAGGTGCAAGGAAAATGAGCGATAGCGAACTTCAGAAACCAAGCAGCATCATACACGTGCAACCAGATAGTCGAGACCACAAACCAAAAGCAGAATTGCAACAGAATTGCAACACGAGTTCCACCAAATAAGAACACAGCAAAAGCTCATAAGTGACAATGTTGGAATAGTCTCATCATCATCAACCAAGAACAAATGTCGACATCCTATCTGGCGCTCTGCGCCCAAACTACTCATGGCAGATCCTACCTAGCCTAATCTACAATGCCGCTGGTGACGTCAACAGCACCCCCGAAGTACGAGCACATCTCGGCCAATGCCGTTCGCTTCAAGCACCAGGTATGTCTCTCGTATCACTCACAACCTCGATCACCCACTCACAGATGCCACGTGCACCCAAGGACCACCATGCGCCCCATCCAGCAATGCAGCGCAGCTTGGCTATGGCTGCCTGCCTCTCCCTGCTCGCCCGTGAGCGCGTGAGCCTGGCCAGCGTTAGCGCAGCAGCGCTTGCGCAGCATGCAGCCAGTGCCCGAATGAGGAATGCGTGGGCAGGCACTTTCCTAAATGGAAATTGCCTGCCTGCTGCATGAAGCCTGGCTGCGCTGGGCCCCTCCCCAGAAGCTTCTGGTAGGCCCAGAGAGGCTGTGCCCCAGTCCAAATGAATCAGGACCTGGGCCTCTGGTGGTTGCCCGTGTCCAACTGCCCTCGGCCTGTGTTCGGTCCATGTTGCGTATCTGGCCCAGGGCCTGCCTCAGTTACATAGGGAAAAAGGCAGCCTGGGCCTGGGCGCTCTCAACCAACTGGTGCTGCGCAACTGCCTGAAATTGCCCAGTTGCACGGTGACCCCAAAAGTCGGCCTGTAGGTCCTGAGTCGAGCCAGCCTTCACTTAGGGTGGCCGACTGCACAGAAAATAGGGCCCAATAGGGTAGATTGAGGCCTTGGGCCTCGCATTCCCTCCTCCATACTTCGACAGTCCTCTGAGAAGTTCCATTACTCAATCTGGCACTTTCCTTTCTGCAGTGACTTCTCATAATGAGCGACAGCTTGTGGAGCGGTCTGCGTCAGTTCCTCCCGAGTGAACCATCTGTCCTCCTTAGGATCAGTGTCATGCCTAAACCGAACGCGGTACTGCAACTTCGGCTTAGGAGGACGTCCCCTGCCTGTCAGTCTTGGAACTGGCATTTCTCTATGGGCCACAATGCCGTCGATGTCAATCTCTCCATCCATGGTTGGGGGCAGCATTGAGCGTCACAAGGGGAGCTGATCAGTTTCCTTGAATGGTGCAAGCTTAGAGGCGTGAAAGACAGGGTAGGTGTGAAGGTGACCAGGGATCTGAACTACATATGACGGCCCATCCGGATGATCCCCGACAATATCTAGAACCTCCCAGGGTCCAAAGTACTGTGGCATGAGCTTGCGGGATATCCCGTGCTCTTGTCCCAGTTCTGAGGACTTGACCCAGACTCTGCCACCTACCTGAAATGTAGATGGGCGGCGGTGCTTGTTCTCAGATTCTATCATACCCGCCTGCGCCTTGTGCATCTGTTCTACAGAGTGCAGCTGTCGGTTGATTCTCAGGTAGTAGAAAGTCTAGAGGCAATTGAGGCTTGAACATCAGTAGCAAACTGTTTGGACTCACGCCTGTTGCGCTGTGCACAGCATTGTTGTACAGGCTGGCGATGAGAGCAAGCTTCTCATCCCTGTCCACCTGGTTGGGCTTGATGTAGGGCCTTAACAGGTGCTGTACAGCGCGGTTCAGCTGTTCTGCCTGCCCGTTTGCCTCTGGGTGGTTCCCGGATGTCATCTGCAGCTGTGTTCCTTGTTCTGCAGCTGCAGCTTTCCACAACTCACTCGTGAATCTGACATCCCGGTCACTCACAATAGACTTTGGTAGCCCAAAGTCTCTAACCCAGTTCTCCTTGAACATCTTAATCACGTACTCGGTCTTCGCTGTTTCAGGCATCGCAACTAATCTAGCGTACTTACTAAATCTATCCACAATGACAAAGATGTGTCTCATTCCACTCTTGCTGGTGACCAGTGTGTCCATAAAGTCCATGGACGGGCTCTCACCAGGCCTTTCCAGAATCGGAAGGGGCTTAAGAAGTCCAAGAGGGGCCTCTGTACGTGGCTTGTCCTTCTAACATACCTGACAAGTCTCCACATACAGCTTGGCATCTCTCATCATCGTGGGCGACCAGAACTGCTGCAGCAAATTGGCCGCAGTCTTTTTATACCCAAAATGTCTCGTGGCATCATGACACTCGCCTAAAAATAAACTACGCAAAGACTCACGGTTAGGCACACACAAACGTTTATTCCCAGCCTTCTCAAGGAATAGTAGGCCGTTGACCAACTCAAACTCAGCAGAGTCCTTCGCCTTGAGTCTACGTATGATCTCAGCCATAAACGGATCCTCGCGATAGGCTTCCACCATAGAACGAGTGACATCGTCCGCAAGCCCAAACTCAGTTATGAGCGCACCGAGGAAGTCTGGCTTATGCGACAGCACATCAGCAACTTTGTTGTACTCTCCTTTGATGTACTGAGGCTCGAAGTCATATTGTTCAATGACTTTGATCCATCTTTTCAGTGCGTCAGAGAGCACTGGCAGGGTTCTCATCCACTTCAGTGTCTGGTGATCAGTCCTGACGTAGAAGAACCTCCCAAGGAGGTAGTGCCTCCAGTGGGTTAGCGCCTTATAGATCGCATAGAGCTCCTTCTCATAGGTGGACTTAGCCAACTTCTGAGAGGGCATCTTTTTGGACATGTACTCGACAGGCCTCAACTTTGACCCCCTGTTGCGCGAGCACGGCGCCTATGCCATATTCGCTAGCATCCGTGGTTACTATAAACGGCTTATCAATATCAGGAAGCTTCAAGACCTCATGGTGCATCAGCGCATGCTTCAGATGTCTGAAGGCAGCCTCAAACCTGTCTGTCCACTCCCATGGGGTGTCAAGGCCGGTCAGGTCCGTCAAAGGGGCGGCAACTATGCTATAGTTCTTCACAAAATTGCGGTAGTAGCCGGTCATCCCTAAGAAGGACCTCATATCAATCACAGACTGAGGAAGCGGTCAGTCACAAATGCTGGCCACCTTCACGTCATCGGGCTTCAATCCTTCTGCGGAAATCTCATGACCCAAGTACAAGATACGGGTGCGGCCAAACTCGGACTTCTCGCCGTTAATCTTGAACTCGTGTTGTCTAAGGAGATTGAGGACTTTGTCTAAATGACCAATGTGCTCCTTGACAGTCCTACTGAAGATAAGTATGTCATCAAGGTACACGATGACAAACTTGTCTAAGTAGTCATGAAAGATCCGGTTCATTGCGTGCTGAATGGCATGATAGCCCAGTGATTAGGGCAACGGTTGGAAATGCACATGTGGCCAGAGGCGCGTGGGTTCAAAACTCCGCGACCTCGTGCATATGCCTCTGACGGGCGTTGGACAGGACACACATGCTGTTCGCACACCGAGTGGGATAGCAACCAGGCGCCAGAAGATGGGTGCATGTGGCTGAGTAGGATCTCAGTTGTCCGGGTCTACGGACTTGGAACCCGTGCGGTACCTTCGGGTGCCGTAACGGTTGCTATCACACTCCCCTTGGGGTTCTTGAGACCATGGGGGGATTCAACCCCTAGGGGGGTGGGCTCAGTAGGGGAAGAGTTTTGTCGGGAGCGATTGCACAGCCCCCCACAAGCAAGCGTGACACTGATCCCCCGAGCACCAAGCGACTAGTGGTGTCATTTGGCCTCCCGGCAAGGTGCGAGGGAAGATTGCAAGCCCCTGAGTTCGGGAGGGGTTGCACCGAGACGCAGCGCCCTAGGTAGCATAAGGCAGAAGACAAGCGCCAGATGAGCGCAATCGAACCACAGCTCCGATACCAAATTGCAAGGAAGATGAGCAATAGCGAAATTCAACAATCAAACAGCATCATACATATGAGTCCAGATAGTCTTGACCTCGAACCAACAGCAGAATTGCATCACGAGATTCACCAAATAAGAACACACCAAGAGTTCATAATTGACAATGCTGAAATAGTCCCATCATCATCAACGAAGAACCAGAGTTGATATCCTATCTGGCGCTCGGCGCCCAAACTACATGTGGCAGATCCTATCTAGCCTATACTACGAAGCCGAAAGATGACATCAACAGCATTCCCGAAGTACGAGCATATGGCGACCAATGTCGCACGCTTCCAGCACCAGGTATGTCTCACGCTACACTCACAGCCTCGTTCCCCAACTCACAGATGCCACTAGCACCCAAGGACCACCCTGCGCCTCACCCAGCTTACAGCAGCGCAGCTCGGCTATGGCTGCGTGCTCCTTCCCTGCTCGCCCGTGAGAGCATAGGCACAGCCAGCAAATAGCGCAGCAGCAGCACTTGCGCAGCATGCAGCCAGCACCCGAATGCCGAATGAGGAGGCAGGCCCTTCCCTATATCGAAGTGGCCTGCCTGCGTCCAGTCCCAGGAAGCTTCCAGTAGGCCCCGGTAGCCTGAGGCCCAGCACGACGAGAGCAGGCCGTGGGCCTGAAGTGGTTGCCTGTGCCCAACTACCTTCGGCCTGTGTTTGGCCCGGTACCCGTATCCGGCCCAGGGCCTGCTTCACATACATTCACACAGGCGGCCCAGGGCCTGGGTTCAGTCAACCAACTGGCGCTGCGCAACTGCCTGAATTTCCCTGAGTTGCGTAGTGGCCAGAAAAGGGCCCTGAAGGCCTCGTCGAGCCTGCCTTCACTTAGGGCGGCCGACGGGCTGCAAATTGGGGCCTTATGGGCCTCATAGAGGCACTGGCCTCGCACAACACACACAAATACACATAAACACACACATATGCACACACACACACACACACACGCCAACAATCATGCGCACACAAACACACACCCACACACACACACACACACGTACAAACACACACATACACAAACACACACGCATACATACATATTCATGCACAGACACACTCTCACACGCAGGCACACACATACACACATGTGCGCACACACAGCACACCGGGGGCGAGGTCCCACTAGCAACAAGATAGGATAGAAACGAGTTTGTGGGGCAGTCGAGTGACCCAAATCCTGCCGTGCAGTACTCGTGATCCCACGGTCAGTATTTTACTTGTATTACCCGAAAAAGTAAGGAGATCTTCGTTCCCCTCCTCCTCTCCTTAACACAGGGCATGCCCATGCAAAGAAAGCTTCCCGCCAGGATCTTTTCAATCGTTTGGGGGTGTGGCCAACCCCAAACGAGGGTGGGGTCGACCTTAGGCCCACTGGATAGAAGATTTTCAGTATTTTACTTGCAGTTGTGCAATTATCTCATTGGGTGGAGCCTTCCCTCAATCACGGAGTATATGGAGGGTGTCAGGATCAGTGCTGACAGAAGTCAAGTTTATTCCAGAAAATGTGGCGGTTACTTTGTTCACTGTTGTTGCAACCACTACCATCAGATCATTTGTGATCTGATGGCTGGGAAGCACTCTGCCGTGATTTCCTGTGGGAGGACTCTGTTTCTCTTTTTTTTTTATCTTTCTTCTGTTTTCTCAGCCCAGAAATTTGTAATGAACCTGTCTGGCCACTGCCACTCAGTGTCACACTGGATCAGCCACACTCCTATCTGACTGCTAATGGGACCTCGCCCCTGCACACACATAACCGGGGCCTTGTGGGTTGGGGGATGTGGGGGCGGATGGCTTTGAGGGCTTTCGGGTAGGTTTGGGGACTGGTGCCGGGGGGGTTGGTGAGTGGCAGGTGGCAGGCCGGTCGGTGTTGGTCTAATTCGGTGGTATAAGAGGTGCTTCAGGGGTTGGGGGGATTTTTTTTGGATTTTTTTTTGTTTTTTTTTGTTTTTTTTTGTTTTTTGCCTCGGGTCACGTGTTCCAGACCCCGCGCATCAATTCCGTTTTACCAAAAAGCGCGGGAGCGACACGTTTTTGCGTTTAACGGGAATTCAACGAGATTCAACGGGAGTTTAATTCCCCCGTTCCCCATTGAAAAGACACACAGCGCAAGGGTTCTTGTTCATTCAGAAGGCCCGAAGGGCCGGTACTTACCTGTGGCCGTGACTTTGAGGGTTGCGGCGGGGAAAACACTCAAGTGGCGGGAGTAGGTCAAGTAGCAGGTAGGCCGGTACCGACCTAGCGGTAGATGTGTCAGGTACTCAAGGCCGAGCAGAAGAAGACAAAAGTTGGCATTTTTAGAGGCCTAGTAGTTGTAGGCTAGGTCTAGGCAAGTACCAGTCCAAGTAGTCTGAGTCTAGGGCCTGTACGAGCAATATCAGAGTCTGGAATGATGTTTCCCTCCAAAAGGGAGGAGGTACCGGTTGCTTGGAGGCAATGCGGCCTGGAAGTCACCGCCCAAGAGGCAAGCACGCCGCTATATCTCCTCATTCTACGGCCTGCAAGTTTGGCGACACACTGTTGGAGCGCTGGGTGGAGCAGCGCTGCTGGGGAGGAAGGTCGCCCAGATCCCCACCTTGGCTATGGTGGAGAAGCTCGGGTAGGAGGAGGAGGAAGAAGGGACTAGGAAGGGGGAGCGCCAGAGGTACTTACCTGGCTATGGTGGATGCCATCCTCATCACCTTGGTGGTCGCTGCAACTGGAAGGCCCCATTGGGGGTAGAGCTACATCAGAGGCAGGCATGGCGGGCTGAGCCAGAGCAGCCATAGCTGCTTTGAGCTGTCTTTTGCACATCAGGCCAAGGCGCTAGCAGTCCGCCATAGCCTCGGCCTTCAGAAAAGAGGAAGGAGAAGGGTCACCATGGCTATGATGGACCTCATGTTGTACCTGAGTCGGACATCGATTCCGGCTCAGCCATTCAACAGTTTTATTATTATTTTTTGTGAAATAAGAGGGGAGGAGATAAGGAGGAGGAGAGTGGTTGGCGAGAAGAAGGGAATTATCATTGGTCTTTGCTGGTGTAAATCTTCTTCTTCTTCTTCTTTCTTCCTTCTTCTTCTTTCTTTCTTCTTCTTCTTCATCTTCTTCTTTCCCTCTCTCTCCTCTCAAGTTCATTCATTTCTTTTGCAATTGGACGGCATTGTGCTTTCTCATGAATTTGTACTTCAAAATTGGCCTGGATAAGTGTAGGGAAGTGACATCACATCATGATTCACCAATCACAAAGCGACGGCAAATCCATGCTTCGCCATTCATGTGACAAACGAAGCCCAGCAAACACTGCAAGGCACAAACGAGTGCAGCAACTGATCGCAGAGCGGATGGAGCTCACCCACCTCCATCAGTTACCAGCCCTGATACCTCTCGCAAGATAAAGAAAACCTGGCACACATCAAAAGGACAAACACCAGGGAAACTAAGATAAAGTAAACCTGGCACACATCGACAGGATAAACACCAAGGAAACCAAGTGCTAGAAACAGTGTGAGGAATGGTTCCAATAGATCTGTGGGAAGGAAGCACTGCCTCAGGAGCATGTTAATATATCATTAGCAAATTTAGCATACATTAGGATCATGAGATCTGCGCAGGTATTGCTGGCCTTTTACTACATTTTTTTCAAAATTTGTAAGCCCTTTTCAATAAGGAACAAGACAAGACATTCAGAGCCAGAACCAGAGGCAGGCTCACCAGTGCTAAGTCGATGAGCTCAGAAAGTACAACCGTGGTCAAAAAAAAAAAGTTATTGCTGAGTACGTGGAGCAAACATAGCACCAGAGGAAACTTCTCCTGATTTCAGATATACAGGGCTTGCCAGCATGGGACAGTCAAGAGAAGGCAAAAACAACTGAAAAAGAGAGAGGGACAGAGACCGGGGGGGGGGCGCAGGGGGAGGGGGAAAGAGAGAGTGGAGTAGACTCGTGTATAGTTTTCTGAACAGGGCAATAATAAAGAGGAGTGGGAGGGAAGAAAAACGTGAAAGTGAGTGCACACACATGCACAGAGAGAGAGAGTCTGATGCATAGGGCTTGTGACCCCGGCACATCTTTAAGAGAGAGCGAGAGAGAGAGGGGGGGGGGGGGGGGGGGAGAGAGAGAG